AGGACCAAGAAGCTGCATTTGAGGTAATGGCAGAACAATCCCAGAGGAGACATTCATTTCATGGCTTTAAATAAAATTTGTCCCCGTGTACAACTGAAAGTACTGTTACTGCTCGAGACTAATTCTACTGTGAGCAAGAGAGGAATGATAGAAGCTGGACTGCCTGCAGTTCTGCCATGATTTATCTTTTGACCTTCAGCACGTTTCTGCTGCGGCGTGTGAAGTTAAGTGCTCTGTGTAACCCGGGGTTGGGGCAGGACTTCCAAATCAACTCACACTGCTGATCTTAGGCAGAATTGTTGCAGCTCGCACGAGGCGAACGAGTCATGCACCAATCCACTGCCCAGCTTATTTGCCATTTTCTATCATGGAGTTATTTAATCGTTCTTATAAGAGAGCCCTTGAACATGAGTCGTGTCTCTGCAACAGGAAATTAAGTAGAAAGGAATATACACAGATAAATTCAAATAGGTTATTTTGGTTTCATAAACTCAAAACAGAGTAAAACCAGCATATAATTCTTAGGGCCAGCTCACAACTTGTTCTGTAAAGAGAACATGCACAAAACCTCTTCATGGCCCAAGGAAGTCTTTGACCTTTGGGCAAATTTACGCAATGGTTTAGGCAGATAATGTTTTTTTGCCATCCTCTGTCCCTTCTCAGCCTCTCTCCTTTCCCTGCTCGATATTCTCTGTGCCCTGCACAGTTTATGCTGTATATAGAAATAGGAAATGTCTAAAGAAACAGAGTGGATCTAAATGGCTTAAGGGAAATGTTATTACATTACTGCTGCATACTCCAATCATCACGGCATAACTAGTTTAAAATAACTGAATCACAGGAAGCAAGTACTAATAGAGAAGTGGAAACCAGGACAGCAAAATTATTACAATATTTAAAAAGAAAAGATGGAATTCAGTACTTTAACACTGCTTCTAGTGATAATTCTTATTTACCACACATTTAACTGGCTTAAATGACAGATTTCTCCATCAGCTGTTGTGTCTCAGAGAGCACTATAAAATACCTATAAAAGCAGAAGGGAAAAAATCAGATAAGAAATTCTCAAGCTGAAAGGGACAGATATTTCAACGTAACTGAGAAAATCCTCTCCTGAACCAAGGCCTCAACCAATCTTACAAGTACTCTGAGCAGACAAATGAAATAAAAGCTTTTTAAAACAGTCCTGTTTTAAACAAGGTACTGGCCCAGCCCCTGGCCACGGAATCAGAGGCAGAGATCTCACGCTCCACTCTGTACCCCCAGAACGCAGAGAGAGGCCTTGCCTGTTGAGGGGAAAAGCTCCTCTGTCACGATACAGCTCCAGCCCAGCTCCAGCCAACATGTCTGGCCAGAAGGCAAAGAGCAGGTTGCCCACCACCACCAAGCTCCCCAGTGAAACCAGTGTGACTCAGCAGCACAGAGATCTGTGCCCACTGTATTCTCACTTCTCTTCAAGGTAACAAGGAAAGGGGGGAAATGCCTTGATTTAACCACCCAGGAAGGGAACAAAAAAATAAATTGAGTTATACTTGTAATGATTTTTTTCCCCCTGCTACTTGTGCTTGTTTTCAAGCAGAGCCTAAGGATTTTTTAATTTACTTTCATTTTTTTTAAGAGTGTACCAGATAGCAAACACAATTGAAACTAATAACTTTGGTTGTTTTTGTTTTTTTTTTCCCCAGGATTAAAATCAAAATAATTTACCTCAAATTGGGAAAACAAGCAACTACAAACTGGAGTTATTTTGTGCATTTTCACACAATTGCACTCAGAAAGAAAGAAAAAAAGAATTTTAATCTCTTAGTACCTTCAGGATAATAAAAGCAAAGTGGCAACTACATGAGAGTTCTTACACCACTACACCTGAATTTTGTGGTTCTGTAGAAAGATAACATGCTTCATAGAAGAAACACTTTCTTAATCATCTCTGAAAATAGGTCTGAGTAGAGAGTTAAGTGCAAACCAGCGCTTAGATGTAGATGATTATGAGATTGCTCAGATTCACTGAGGTCAGGGTTCTTCCTCTAACCTACTTTCTCTGATTAGAGAAAGTGGTTTTTACAGACTAATCATATGTGACCTAGCTCATTTTCCTCTGGGAATTATCACAGCTGATCATCACCTCACAGAAGAGAACCTCAAATGAAGCTTAAACCAATGATGAAATAGGGCTGCAAGACGAGCGTGTTCCACATGCAGAGAACAAGCTAAGTACATAATCAAAATCACTGTATAACATCAAAATCATTGTATTAGCAATGTAAAAATGAAATAAGTCTGTTTTCCATTTCACAAGTTATTTATAAAGCAGAAGCGATCACTGATCAGGCAGCACACATCCACCTTCCTGCCCTAAGGAAACCCATGGGCACTCTTGGCACCACAGGCTCAGTGGTTATTCATAATTCCCCAAGAGAAATTCCATTTTTCACACTCCTGCAACACTGAATGAAAGACTCAGTGCCTGCAGCCCAGGCAAAATAACAAGGTGAGCAGCTTCCCAAATACCCCAGCAGCCTAAAATCATCATTACTGGCATTATCATAGTATGCAGAAATCTTAAGATGCCTCTTAGTTGGCTTTTAATGTCAGTTAGCTTATAACCTGAGATCATCTGGCAACGTAAGGTAAGCTGAAAAACAACCCCTCGCACAAATCAGCCAGAATTGTCTACCCTCCGTCGCTGACATTATAAACTCACACAGTCTGGAAGTAAGCATGTGTTGACCTAGCAGACAGAAGCGTGGAGGAGAGGAAAAAAACCAAAATCACTCCCAGAAGCCTTATGTTTACCAGAATAATTTTCATTTTAGCAAGGGAAGTTCAAGACTGACTTTCCCACTACTTATTTGCAGCTTCACAACATCATTCTAGAAGGGACCTGTTCCAGGTCTACTTCAGGCTAAGCTCAGATGCTCTGCACAATATTTACAAATAAACTTTCCTTTTTACCACTTCTGCCCTTATGCTTTTTTGCCCTTGCAACGTCTGTGACATACATGAGTCCATCAATCTGATGGATGCTTGTTACACAGCATCAGTGTGGGAAGGTAAAAGGCCAGTGTTGCAACAGGCAGTGGAGGAGCAGCAAGGGAACGGTTTCTCAGACCAAACCTGCTCACAAGGATGACACCTGTGACTCTGCCAAGCTAATTCTGGTGGCACATGCAGGCAGCCTTGCAGAGCCACCCTCTCCCAGAAGGAACAATTTACTAAGGACGAGTTTGTACTCCTGCTCTTCACATGCCTCCAGGCCCTTTAGATATTTGCAGTGGAGACACCAGAAAGCACAACCCCTCAGAACAGCACAATCCCCTTGAACACAGCAGCCCCTGAGCCTTGCAGATGGTTGAGAAAAGCCTAGCAGCTGCTTGACTTCAGCCCAGGTAAGATAAACACAACTCAGGCATCTCCGAGCAGCCTTAAGGCCACCTTTGGGTACCAAACTGTTCTTCTCACACATGCTGCAATCTCATTTACCAATGTCATCCGCCTCATGCTTCCTGGCACATGCACCTTCAAGAGGAAAAAAGATTCAGATACTCAGATCCCTTAAATCTACAGCACACTGTTTTGTCAGACACCTTGCACAACAAAGGCCATGTGATAACCCTAATAACTCTTTTTTGGACTCATTTTTGCTGATGCTTGAGCAAAAAGCAACTTAATTTTTTTTCAGTACCGTATGTATCTCTGTATGTTAAATATCACGTGAATGTATTGTGATCACAACATCCAAATTTATATGGGGCATTAGGAGTTTGAGATGTGGCAATATTCTCCTGATGTCAAACCCTACACACAGCTCCTGCGCTCTATCTGCCTTTTGCTCATCCAGGACGACAGGATTTGGTCTCTTTTCTTTGGTTGGTTGTAGGTGGGTTTGTTCGTTTGTTTGGATTTTTTGGTTTTGTCATTTGTTGTTGATATTTGGAGGTTTAGGTGTTTTGTTTTGTTTCTGGGTTGGTTGAGGGTCTGTGTGTGTGTGTGTTTTCGTCACAGAGCTTTATGAATAGCTTCAGGGAACTTAATTATGTTTTCAGCTTTTCTCTTCCCCTCCAGTCTTGCTGAAAATGTCCCCATGGCTCTCGCTGATGCTTTTCAAGCACTTGCTGCCCAGACTGATGAAAGGACAAGAATAACATTAACGAAGATCCAAAGTCAGCAAAGGCAGCAAGTCAATACAGCTCAAGTAGGGCATGTGCCAGAACAGACAATGAACCCTCTCTTTGTACTGTTAAATCACTGCTATTTCCAAATGCTTAATTCCTGGTTACATTTCAGAAAATGGTATTTTATTAGTGATTCAGTTGATGTGTTTTTTTCTTTCTGATATTCCTACAGCCTTCTGTCATCCTTGAACGTTGACCTCCACTAACAGCATCTTGTCTTCTCATCCATCTAGACTGGAAGCACTCAGAAGCATGGTTAAGACCTTAGAAGAATTGCCACCCAAAAAAAAAGCCTTTTTCCATTAACTTCAGTGCAACCAGGATTCACCTCCAGTCTGCACTGAAACGTAAATCAGCTCTTACAAACTTTAATTAAAACTGCTTGTCTCTCTGGGCCTGTGCTCAACACATTTTTCACTGCTCATTTGCTCTAGAAGCAAATAACTCAGGCTTCTCTAAAAACCAAGAGGTTTTATAATGTGGTAAAACATTTTTGGTTATGTTCTCCTGAACTGCTTCCCTGTTCTCCCAAAATGTTTTATTACACTGTCCGGCTAATGCAGAAGAATATTTTTTTCTATTCAGATTTTTCAGATGAAAAGGTTTTTCTAGAACTTCAGACAGAACTGCTAAACTGCAGCTATACATCTGGGACAGGCCTATCATTTAATATTAGCAACTTTTTAATAGCTATGTAACTGAAGAAGCAGATGGGGAGAGAAACATCACTTCTTCCTGTTTTCAGCACCTTTCCAATTGGTATCAACAAGGCCATCTACTGATAACAAAAAAGTGAGTTAAAGCTAATAAAAAGACATGAAATACCTTTATAACGCCTTCACCAGGCCTCATATCTGTATAAATCTTGACGTTGTATGATATATTGGAGAAGGTTGGGGAATTATCATTTGCATCAATCACCAGGATATTGACTGTCACTGGAACACTCTCCTGGACACCGTCAGAAGCTGTCATCTTCAGGGTTGAAAAAGAGAAAAAGGCAGAACAGGAATTTATGTTAATGATGTGTTCTTAATACAACCCCAACTGTGAGAAAATAGAGTATGGCAACTAAAAACCAGCATTTTGTGTCTTGCTTTTGTTTTTACAACTGCAGGAGGCTTCAGCCGAGCTTGAGCTGGCAGCGTGCAAGACTCGGAGCAAAAGCAAAATGAAACCACACCTTTCCAACATGCTGTGTCAGATTTAGCAGGAGGAATGGGAGGGAATAACCGTTTCCCAAGGGCTGGGATAGTGCACAGCTCACAAACCTGCTCAGCCCAGGCACTGCCACATGCAGGAGCTGCTACACATGGTTAAACCTCAAAGAGAGTATTTTAATGTGGGACTTATAGAGCCAGAGGCTTTCTTACTCAGTAGGGCAAATCTGAGCTCTCCTTTCAAATGCTAAATGGAAGGAAAACAGGGATGCTTCACTGGGAACCCGTGTTCCTCTTTCCCATTGCTTTAGGGCTGTTAGGATGTTTACTCACAGACTGGGAAATGCCTGACAGGATATTAAGTTCACTGAAGCTTTTTTCTTTTTTTCTATTTTTTTTCCTTAATACTGCTGGCTGTATTTTCTGTTAGCCTGCTTTTTTTTATTTTGTACTAAAATAAAGCAAAAAGGCCATTACAGGTGTCATGTTGTTAGCTCAAGGGCAGAGAAAAGGCAAAGGAAGCCAAAAAGAGGAGTCAGATTGTGTCATGGCAGGGTGGTGAGGAACAAGATACAAGCCTGGAGGTGATGATAGAGATGTTGCTGGCAGAGGTATCTAAATTGTGGCTATCAAACCAAACAGATGCATTTTGGAAGAGTGTACTAACCCAAGTATCAACTCCCTCCACCCCTGGTATTGCAGCTGCTCATCTTTTCATTGCTTCTCTTCTTCTGTGCCATTTTAACAATGCATAACAATATTATTACTGCTGGTTTTCAGCACAGGCTCTGACCAACAGCTGACGTGCCTGCAGGTGCATTTAGCTTACCGAGAAGGTGTAAAGCTGCTGAGCTTCTCTGTCAACGGGCTGCAGCAGGGTGAGGTAGCGGGTGATGCCACTCTGAGTCACAGTGAAAAATGTATTGTAATCATTCAGAAAGAGATGGAGCTGTGGATCCTTGATCTTTAAATGATATTAGAAAAAAAAAAAAAAGCACTTTAGTATAAATTCATACATACCATTAAGTTTCCAACTACTCAATGCAAGTGCTTGTTTCAGTTGAAGCCTAAATAAGCAGGAAGTACAATATTGTGACAATCTACAAAACTGTAAAAAAAATAACTGTAGACAACAACACTGCTGATCTAAAAATCTAATCTTCTTGATAAAATATATATATATAAATGTATATTAAATATACACATTAACCTAAAAGGTATATACACATTAACCTTAAAGGTAAACTCAATGGTAAACCAATACTGGCATCTCCTAGTTTTAAATGATGCTTTTCTTCATTAAAACAGTAATTTTTAAGCCAAACACAATTTACCAGTATAAGAAACAAACCCAAAAGCTATCTTAATTAATGGAGCAATAAAACAATTGAGTTGATACAATGGAAAAAGATAATAAGCACATTGCTAAATAGGTGCTGTTCAGAGATTCTCTCTATGTTTTGAAAGGAGTCACAACACATTGATGCAGAACTCTGAATCTCTCAGTTATCAGATGAAAACCACAATAAAGCAACTGTGGCCTAACTTTCAATAGGAAGTAAGACTTTAAGATATTAAGGGAAAAAAAGCAAGTCAAGGCACTATAAATTAGTTACTCATGACTTCCTGGGTAGCCTGCTGGGAACACAGATGGGTGAGCACCAGGAGTGGTGCTGCAGTTCTAATGGTGCCTGCAAAACCACGCAACAACACAGAGAGGGCAACACCTCCTCAGATATCCTGAGCAGCCTCTCAGGAACTCATCCTTCCCCTTCCATCCTCGCTCCCAGCAGGGATAGCAGATTATAAGGGTATGGGGAAGAAGAATGAAATGTTCCCTGGGGGAAAAGACTGAACTTAATTTGGGGGTAAACACAATCTCCACTAACAAAGAGAATCTCTTTTTTTCTTTGGGGTCAAACAGATTCTCCACTAAGCAGAATGTTTCTGCCATGGAGAGAACTGGACATTATTACTGTGTTCACAGGGAATAGAGAATATTAATTAAAGTCCAGGACATCAAAACAGTTCCTTCTAGTGTGAACTCAGCATACAAAGCTGCAGAATGGACTTTCCATCCCTTAGTCCTTACCCAGCAGTCTGCTGGATGCCAGCACAGAGCAGGCAAAAAGGATGCTGAAGCTCTGTATGCTCTGGTGGTTCTAAGAAGCCCCACAGATTAAGGCACTTTTCTGGGATGTCTGTGTTGTTGAAATGACCTAAACATGAATCGTGACTGGGATGAAATACCTCCGTGTCTTCTCCCATCTCTTTTAAGATGCTACTGAGTTACAAAACTCATGTAGGGTGACCCTTGCAGTCTAATTACAATTAAATTTTAAAATAAATTAGGTTACCTTTTATTGCCTACAGTATTCCAATAAAACCATTTCTGTGCCCTTGTATGTAATCTAGTTAATTTAACCTGACTTAATGTGCTACTCTCAGTCGTTAGTTATTTAGTTTATTTCTGTTATATAAGGGGAGGTGACAAAAGAGGAATGTAAATGTGATCAGGCAAAGCACAAAAGGCTGGGAAACGAATCCTGTAAAAGCTCTTTTGAACTGTCCCAAATAACGTGGAGGTGAGGAATTGAAGGACTGCTGCTATGAATAAAATGCAACAGAAAAGCCAGAGGCTGAACAAGAGGTAACTTGAAAAGTCCTTTTACCAGCTACTTTCCAACATAATTCTACAGAACCTGCCCCACACAGAGTGGAATGCACAAGGTTGTCAGAAATAGCCAAACTCAGCAAATCATCCAAAAGGTAGCATCACGTTGTTCTTCTCTGAGCATTTTCTCAACTTGAATGCAAACTACTTCTATAGAAGGGTAGCTGCTGCTAATGGAAAGAAGAAAAGAGAGCACTGGGTAGTTCACAGTCCCTGCAGCAGAGAGGCCGTCAGTGCTCCAGCTAGTGCGAGCGTGCTCCAAGTGCCACAGGAACAGCTCCGAGGACAGATGAGCACAACAGGAGGAGGAAGAGAAACTTATTTTAGCAACCCAAAATACTCTAAAGCACACGTTTTGGAAGGCTAAGATTACACTATTTAAATGAGAAACCATTTCAGCTGCTGAAAGCTATGTGAAAGAAATATCAGTGTTCCAAATGAGTGGTTTCCTGCTGCCTAAAGCTTCGCTGCAACTATGCCAGCTTTTGGTAAAATTAAAATTCATTTTACAGCTAGCAATGCAAACAGCGATCTCTTTTTGCCATGAAAAATTACAGAACGTAATTGCCAATAATAACTGAATACATAAGTCAGCTGAAAATTTAATTTACAAGAACCCTGGTTAGTTGTTACAGTTCTTGCTTGTCATTTTGAATGCTAATAAACAGTATTTTTTTCCTAACTTGTTCTTGAGAAAATCCGATGATGGAGATCCCATCCACTCCCTAAGTAATCTACCCTTTTCCTTAGCTATTCTTCTATTGGAAATTTTATCCTACTGTGTAAATTAAATTGCCTTTGCTGCCATCAATGCCTATTTCTACTTTGTTCCATGCATGTTGGTCCTACAAAGCAATTTATTTCCTTAATCTTGGCATTGCTATGCTTTTACATTTTTACCACATTTTATGCTGAATTAAAATGTTCACAGTTAAATTGAGCAGACTTTATGTGGCCGATACTGAGAGAGAACACAATTGTGGGAAACAATCCATCTATGTCAGCAACATGACTTCCAGCATTTTAATTTTTTAAACTAGCATTTTATTTTGGGGTCTGGACTTAAGCACTGTGATTTCTGACTACATTTTCTTACACTAACTTGTCTCTGATAAATTGTTTTAACATATTAAGTGGAACACTCTTGGAATCCACACAGCAGAGTACGCATGCAGCCTGGGAGGACCGTTTCAAGCACGTCATTCAAACCTGATGCGGTTTACAAACTTCATACTGACCAGTAGGTACTTTTTAAATTTAAAAGAATACTTTCTGTAACACTCAAGATTTCTAGAAGGATACATATTATTATTTAATGAACATAAAGCAATCACAATGTGATCACGGTACAGCTTCATGCCCTAATTGAATTTGGTGTGACGTGTTTAAAGGGTTCTGTGCAGGCTTCACAAAACAAGTGACAGTCCCAGCATCAAGCTCCAGAGCAGAGAAGATGGAGGAGGACAGGAGGAAAGAAAGAAACAAAACACACAATTAAAATGAAGAGGAATTTTGCAAACATAATACCCAATACCTACAGGAACAGCACCTGGTGCAACCTACAAAGACAAAGACATGACACAAAATGAATACAAGTCAAAAAACATAAAGCTGATAGTGATGGACATCATAAAAGCACTAAGTTTGGGGGGAAAAAAAAATGGTTACAGGCAAAACTACCAAACTTGAGGTTCAGCAAGTGCTCCAATGCACTCATAACAAAAACAGCCTGGTTTTGAATGTGCTCTGCTTGAAAATCTCTGAATAGTTCCTGATAGTTTGAAATCCTGAGTGGATGTTAATGTTAGGTTTCTGCTGCTCCTCTCCTCCCGCAAGGGCTTGCAAGCTCTTCCTAAAGCAAGTATTTTCCTACAAGCTACTAAGATTAAACCAAAATTACATTATATTGTCAAGAATGAGGGGACACTGACACATATTCTGTACATGTATCAACATCCCAAGGACTATTTAGAGGAAATATATTTGGATGATAAATTCTCCAGGATAGCCAGAACAAGCTTCAACAGGATCAGAACTGCTTAGGCCTTCTGATTGTCAGCACAGACTTGCCTCCAAAAAGCTGTAGCAATAACAAAGGTAATTTAATGACACCTCTCTGTTTTCCAGCCTTTTTCATGTGGAAGATGATCAGCACTGAAACGCCCATGGAAGAGAATTGTTTTGTTGAAGAGTTTTCCAGCATTTGCCCTCCTCATTTCTGGGTGAAAGCAGAAAAATCTCTTCCACTCGTATCTTTCACTGGAAAAAAATCTTGAGATTGAGCCTTGCAGAGGGGAAGCAAAACCTGAGATTCCCAATCCCATTGACAAGTGGTTTGCAGTCAGACTGTGCTGGCCTGCACCTAGCTGATTTTCTCTAACTTGGTGCAAGATGAGGACTGCAAGGCCTGATGAGATGGTTCTCCAGGCTCACTCATTCAGCTTGGAGGGAATAGGCAAAGAAGACACAGCATATCTGGAGTGAACTTCCTGCATCTTTAACACCACCGTTAGGGATCAGAAAAATAACCTGAAGCACAGTCTCCGGAGAAGTCTTTGTGATGGCTTCAGTAACAAAACCACTTAGATCAACAGGACCAAGGAGGAAAACAAACCAAGCCCAAATTCTGAGCAACTGATAAACTAAGGGAGATAAACCTGTCTGAGAGGACACTGCCCAGGCCACCCTATAAGTAGTTTTTTCTCCTTAAACATTTTTTTCCTTTAAAGTGAGTTCATTTAAATAATATTTAATTGTACCATTTAACACAGTAAAAAAACTTCTTCACCATTTAGGTCATCTAAACTTCAGAGGAAAATATGCCAAAAGACTAACGCAAGAACCAGGATGGATGCTGAGCAGTGCTTTAATTTTGAATTAATTTTAATCACCACCAAAACCTCTCCAAATCCCTGCACAAAGCAAGGGCTGAGGCACAAGCATGACTAAAAAGTCAGGCACTAGAAAGTGCTACCAGACTTTGGCAAATCGAGGTGCGAAGGGCCATGCCACTCCCTGAAAAAAAAGTCGACAGGAAAGTTTGGAAAAAAAGATCATCTTCTGATCTTCATACAAATGAGCTGCTCCTGGGAGAGGGCAAGAAACAATCTCAGCATCTTCATCACTTCCACTAATTAGTGGTAGCATTTGTTTAAAAGAGGGCAGATGTACATAAAGCAAACCCCTTGAGGACTCCAAGGAACTCAGAAGAGAGAAAGAATCGCCTGAGAAGGCAGAAGCCATTGGATATTCCTCCTACACAAGTACAGGAACAAATACAGTGCTACAGT